TATCACATTTTCCTGCTGCTCAGTCAGGTTGTGCGGGTTTAGGACTGTGCTTTGCGTTTGTAATAATAATAATAATAATAATAATAATAATAATAATAATAATAATAATTTTTAGGAGACATCACCTGGCTTTCAATGAGAATTCCTCTTGCTGGGGCATAGCTGTGGGAAAGATTTCCTGCCGTCCGTGCCCTGCCAGAGAAAATGGGTTGAATGTTTTTGCAAAATACAAGGCTGGAGGGAGCGAAATTTCAAATCTAACCCCAGGAGAATTTTTCATGTGTCCTGACTTATTCCCGCGTTGGGCTGAAGCCGGCCAAGCCAAGCGGGCGGAAGGAGGAAAATTTGCAATGTCTTTCTGTCCGCACTGACTTGCAAGTAAGCTAACCAAGGGGAAAGATGTTTGTAAAATCAAGTTGTTGGAAGGGCTGGGAACGAACAGAAAAGGAAGAGGGCTTGTGAGCGGAGGTGGGGGGGTGCATGAACCCATTTTTACGGCTAGGCATCCATCTTGCAGCGAACGACCCATCTTGGCTGAATGGGATTCGAATCCATGCCCGGGAGGGGTGCTACTCTGTTCACTGTTCTTTCCCCATCTTTGCCGATAACATGGGGAGAAACGGGTAGGGGACGGTTGCGGTTTCCCCAGCAAGTGAGTGAAGCTCTCTGCACATGGACAGGAGCATTGCTTAACACCGTATGGAGTTAAACGCTCTGGAATTCTTCCCAAATCGCCCCGATCCAGTACCTGCAAATGAGTCAGGGGCTCGGGGTGTGAAAACCAGATTAATGGGAGATTTAGAGGCTCAGTGGATTTCTCACTCTTCCAGTCAACCATCGGCAGCAGATTAACTCCCAGTTTGTTCATCTGTTGAATCACTGGTGTGTTTGTGTGTGTGTTTTTTTTTTAAATGATGGTCTCGGGAGCCCATTTCACCATTCCCAAGCACGACTGGTATGCATGACTTATCCATCATCTATCAGCTGATCCATGCAGGGCTCTGACAATCTCTGTTCACCGACGTGTCACACATATAAGCAAATAATAGTGACAGCAATACTAATAAAGCTGCACGTCTCCTCCGAGCTTACAAAAACATGGAAAATATTACAGTAAATCAATTGGGACAACACGCAGAAAATAAGTTACTAGGCGCTGAAGGGATTCTCAGTTGGTTCAACGGGGCGGAAATGGAAATAAACCGATAATAATCAGAGTGGGCCATCTGCAGGCTGGATAGGTCACTTTAGACCTCTGCTTTTATTTTATTTTATTTTGCCTTGTGTCTTAAGAATCCTGAAATCTGGCTGCCAATGACCCAGGCGCTTACACAATGTCCCACTTGTTGCAAAAAGAAAAATTAAGCCAGTGTTGTAAAACTCGGGAGGGGGGGCTGTTTTGTTGGAAGGAAGGCCTGGAGGGGGGAAAAAAAACCCAAATCCCATTTTAAAATGGCCCAAACCCACCCAGCCGAAGGAACACGGACATCCGAGGCAGAAAATCCATTCAGCTGCGGGAAAATGTTGAGAATGAAATTGACAATCCTTTGGATGAAACTGGACGTGGGCAGCTGTTTTAATCTGGTTTGTAAAAGGCTAAAATCTGGATTTCGAGAGGGCTAAAAGGGCTTGATTCGTTTCCTTTGCAAAGTTTGGAAGATTTTGAAAACCTGCCGTCTGCACGCGCCCTGTCCTGGGTTCAGGGACTCCTCGGCCCCCAGCAGTTTTGCCCGATCTGCAGTCCAGCCCTGCCTTCCAGCAAGAAGCCATCCTTCGGGGTTTCCAATCCGATTCTCGGACCTGGTTCTTGCAATGAACGTGGTCTTTCCATGGCTGTTTCTGCATCTTCAAAGGGGGCTTTTAATGTGCCTAGGAACGGAAGGGCGAAGGTTGGCAACGCCGGTGCCACTGGCCGCAGCCCTGAATGGCCGCTTTGTCTGGACAAAGAGGGAAATGTTGTAAACAGCTTTTCGGCGTGGATTTTTTTTTCCCTTTTGGGTGCCTCTCCCTCCCTCCTGTTTGGATCCCAGAGTTTTAGTCCTAGATTTAAAAAAGAGAAGAGAATAAGTCACGGGGGTCCAATATATCGGAAAACAGACGTTCCAGAGTGAAAGGAAGAGATATTCTAAAAACCCAGCAAGAATAACCTTGGAATCCTTGATATTATTAAATCCTAATGACATGGATGGGCGACAGATTCGGATGCCCATCATCCCCGCCAGCAAGCCCACGATGAAAACCCTTTGGGGTTTTTTTTTTTGGAAAGTATGCCCATAGTAAAATAGGATATCGCTGATTCCCGTGGGTTCTGGACTAGGTTCACCAGTTCAAGTTTTCATGGATTAATTTGCTCTTTAAAGAGATTAAAGGCCGGGCCCGTATCATGGGACGGGGCATCGTGCCCCGCGAGAATCGCTGTAGCGCCTGGCACAAATAGGGCCCAGCTCTCTCTTGAGAGGGGCGAGGGTTGAATATGTGGCCTGGGGGACACCACTACTTCAACCCAGCTTCCGATATCGCTCTCAAAATGTGGGCTGCTTCTCCATCCTTCCGAACGATAAAAGGACCGCGGCGATGGGAACAGGCGTTACGGTGCTTCCGTGGAGGAAGATCACCAGTCGAGGTTCAAAGAGGTGTGTTTTGCAGGCCTGGCTGCTTCCCCCTCCCCGCCACCCCCAACTTTGGGGTTTATTTTGTAAAGCCAAATAAGCTGGTGGTAAGGCTGGGTGGCAATGGGCACACTCCCGCCTGGGATTCCATCCGTCCTGGAAGAAGGACCGGGCTGTTGTGCAAGAGCGCGGCACAGTTGCTCAACTGTTCGGGGACAGGAAATGAAAAAGAAATATGAAACCCCAGCAGAATTCAGCCGGATGGAATGAGGGCCTGGCCCTAGCAAATACCTGAGATTCATCACTCGGGTCTTGCAAAATCAGATGAAGGTTTTACCAGCCAGAAGAGGCGGCAGAGCGTGGCGCCCCCTGGTGGGGCACGGCGGGTGTTGCGTGCCCGGTTTGGTTGTGTCTCCAATGCGGGGCAATGTCCTTTTTTGGGAGCATGCTTAACTTCACAAACATGCCCTTGCCAAAAAAAAAAAAAAAAGAGTTTCGTAGCATATTTGCAGAAAGTGCTCCGTCTTTGTTTCCTTCGGCCACAACTTGCCAAAACGAAGCTGTTTTGGAGGAAGGGTTGGGTGGGTTTCTGTAGAAAAAGCAGCTGATGTTGACTTTGCGGGAGTTTTTCCACTTCCTGGCCTAGCTTCCAGCACTAGCATCTCCTGGGGGTCTCCCATCCACGCACCAACTGGCTTTGGACCGTCCCCCAGAACGGCAGACGGGCTGCCCGTTCAAAAGCAGGGCTGTTGTGCAGCTGTTTGCATTAATCTATTTAAAAAAAAAAAATCAGAGAAATAAAGAAGACGTCAACGCATGGGGAATTTATATTGGGCCACGTTTTCCTCCTTTCTCCGTGAGTGGACAAGGCGTAGAACGGGGGACATATTTGTGCCAATGTGTTTAACCAGGTTGGGGTAATAATAATTAAAAAAAAGAGCTGTCTTGCCCATCAAAAAATTAGGGGGATCTTATGCGGGCAACGTTCATTGGCCCCGCCTCCCGAGCTGCCCGTTTGCCCCGAGCTCCGCCCCCGAGCTGGCTTTTCTTCTTGGGTCCGCCTCTCCCCATCCCCGGGATCCTGGTCCCTTCGGTCTGCCAGCGGATCGATCCTCAGTCCTGCCCACGCAGCTCTGCCTTGCCCCCGAGACGCCTTTTCGAGATTCCTTCCCATGCAGGGCAGTGGGTACCGACCGTTGCCCCGCCTGGCCTGAGCTGATGTTGGCCCTGTCTGCCCGGGAATAGGCCATCAGCCCACTGCATAATTCATTCGTGACCCCCTGCATCATTCATGCTGGAACGGTTCAGCCGTCCTTCGAGTTCCAGGACTGTAACGCGACCCAAGCCCCTTCGCTCGTCGGGGTATCTGGTTCCCCAGCGCCTCCGTTCCCGTCCAGGGTGGAAGATTTTCATCCCACAAAGCACCCCTTTCATCCCCGTCACCCGAGCTGCCTCTCGGGATGGTCCCCATTGTCTGCTCCGAGCTGGGGGGGAGACACCCGATCCCCCGTCTCTTATCGGGAGGATGGGTTACACCTTCGCCGAGGAAGGCTGCCACCCTGGGGGTATTAATAGCGGGTGAGCTGCCTGGCCCTGGACTAAGCCTGTCGAGACTCCGTGACTCATTTCCACATGGCTGCGCCCGAATTTCTTTGCTGGAGGGACGGCGGGGCGGGCCAAAAACGAACGGGCCCTTTCGAAAGTCTGCAGTTCAGGGCTTAGGGAGGTCCAAGGCGGGCTTGCGAGGGTTAGATCAGCAACTGATGTCTCAGCTCCGTGGAGCGGCTGGCGGGGAAGCAAAAAAAGGGGGCATGTAATGGAATATGCTAGCGGAGGGCATGGCCGGCAGGCTGGCAGTCAGCCAGAACTGAACTCCTCGGTGTGACTAATGGGGACTTAAGTTACCGTGATGGTCACATTCAGGCCGTACCACTTCAGATGTCTCTGTAACGAAATGATATGCCACCCCTTGCACAGGGAAAATTAGCACAGACACGCTCCTTGGCACGCTAGCTCTCCATATGCAGGGACAGGTAGACGTCATCCTTATTTTACGGGTGTTGCAATGCTCTGCCGGGTGAGCAAATATGTCTGGACAGGGATGTGCCAAAGAGCAGTTACGGCCTTTGCTGTGCTAGCAGCTTGTCGCGGTTTGAAGCGGTCCAGCCTCACCATAGAAGTATGTGTTGCCAGGAATTAAATAATTATTCCTAATGATTGAATTCGCATCTCTCCGCATGGTTGCTGAACTCAGCCTTCTGGGCTGCGGATTCCAAGCATTGTTTCTCCGGCTGTTGGAGATCAGCCGCTTGCATCCATTCTGGAAAATGCGGGTCTCCTCGCCGTTGCCCATCCAGCGGAGAGGGTTTCGGGGGAATTCGTCACACGCTTTCTCTCTCCAAGATGGCCTGTCTTTAAACAGACGATGCGAGGGTTTCGCAATTCTGTCTCTTTAAATTCAGACGCCCTCGTCCCGGGCAGGCTGTCCAGCTGCCGATATCTGATTCTCCTGGAGGAGGAGAGGGAGGGCCCACCAGTTTTATTTAAGCCCCCGGCAGGCTATTTCGGACTCGCTTGGTTAGAGGTAGGCTGCGTTCAGCGGCTGCCCCATAGCGATCCGCGAGAGGAGAGAAGCCGGAGGTCCGTCCTAGGTGAGGCTGAGTAAGTGGGCACCCTCGAGGCCACTGGGGGGGTGGGCTTGGGAGAAAGGGGGTCTCGGCCCTGTCCCTTGTATCCTCTTCCCTCTGGGCCTGACGATAACCCTGCAGAGGAGGCCACAGAGACTTTGAGGGGGAGCCTGCAATTGCTCCCCAGTTTTAGAACCAAAGGGGGATCCAAGTTTTGCTTTTGGGCTGTTTCTCTGCCAGTTTCTCCTCAGCTCCCGAGGCCAAGTTGGAGGCACCTGTTTCCTTTCCTTTCCAGCCCCTCTTCGCAGCCCACATCCTTGGGGAACGATCCTTGAATCCTCCCCACCTGGAGCGAAGCGAAGCCTAAGAGATGCTCCGCTTGGGTGGTGTTTGGGGAGGTGTCTCCGTTTCACCTTTGCTCTTCTGAAAACGGGCCCCTGCCTGGGAAGGCCTTGCTCTGGGGCGGCGTTTCCTCGGGGTGGGCTTGATCCTGGCGACGGCCTTGGCTCGCGAGTCTTTCCAGTGCCCTCACCATCCTCTGCATCCCCCCGCAGGCACTGTTCCTGCTCCCCCTGCCACCAGGATGACGTCGCAGCTGGAGAACGCAATGGACGCCCTCATCGCCGTCTTCCACAGCTATTCCGGCAAGGAAGGCGATAAATATAAGCTGAGCAAAAAAGAACTGAAGGAGCTGCTGCAGAACGAGCTGGGCTGCTTCTTGGAGGTAGGACGGACTGGCCGTTCCCGTCCCTTCTTTTTTCCCCCCTGCCCAGCTGCTTTAGACGTGTGGTTTTCCGAAGAAAGTTTGCGGGACTTCACGGTGCGTGGGTTAGCGTGGGGGGAATAGGAACGAAAAGAATCAAGGAAGGCCGCAAAGGGGGCGTTGGGGCTTTGGGGGACACCAACACCCCAGGCCGGACGACAGCGGTACTACACTGTGAGGAACCAACCCATGAACTTTTTTTAATTAAAACATCAATTTATTGAAAAAGATGAACGCTCTGCAGTTGGAAAGCTGTATTTCCTTTCGTGCCGGCCCTCCTCCGGCTGCAGACTGACCCGCCCATCCTTGCTTTCCTTTTCCCCCCATTTACTTTCTTTATGCATGGGGTCTAGTTTAGATAATAGGTTTTTTTGCTGTTCTTCACGTGGATGGGGCCGGTCGGGAAAAAAGATTGAACGGGGTCCGTAAAAGCCCCAGCGTTTGCACGGCGTTTCAATGTTGGCGAGCCTTGTGGTTTTGGCTGGCTTAGTGGTCTGTGCAAGGCTGGCCTGTTGGCTGACCAGCATTCTGTGCAAAAGCAGCAGTTGGCTTAACGCAGGGACTGAAGTGAAGCTCTCATCGGGGGGGGCGAGGAATCCCGGGGAACGGAGATGCTCCCAAGAAGGTCAAATAACATTTCACGGGTCAGAATCCGGAAACGGCGGCAGGGAGCCAGACGAGCGCCAAGGCGGGGCTGATGCCCCCGACTCCTGGATTAACCGCACCCCAAACACTTGTCCGATTTCTTGTTCCAGACCCAGAGGGACACGGAAGCGGTGGACAAGATCATGCATGACCTGGACGAGAACGGCGACGGGGAGGTCGATTTCCAGGAGTTCGTGGTCTTGGTGGCAGCG